GAGAGAGAGAGAGAGAGAGAGAGAGAGAGAGAGAGAGGGGGAGGGGGGAGATGATTCTCAAAATCTCCATCTCAAACTCAGCCTCGGCTTTGATGGCATCATGTAGAACAGAAGTGTACAATAAATGTCCTATCAAGTTCCAGGATGTTTCAGCAATAAAAGGGGTGATAAAAATACGAGAGGAATTGCGGGCGATGAGCTCTCTGATGCTGGTCTCGACAGCAAGGAAGGCCAGGGGAATGCATTGTGTTGACTCCCGCCTCCATTTTTACACCCATTCTAACCGCTTTTTATTATGTCTCCTGATCTGGAGTGCTCGGCTTTTTAGCGATTAGATTTGAATGGACAGGGCTGCGTCTTAGTCGATATTGAAAACTGGATCAAGAAAAACTGTTTAAGTGCAGGTAAAGGGCAGCCGTGAAGATGGCAATGACTGGATGTTCACCTACCATATTAACTATGTCTCAATAGAGGGGGTAGCTACTGGAAATTCGGGCTATAGAGGAAGAGGTAGCTATCCGCCTTGCTTTTATCTAAAGTAAAGAGGTGTTATTGTGTCCATTTGCCTCTCTCTACTGTATATAAAATACAACAACAACAAAAGGGAAAATTATGATAAACAAAACTGTAATCGTCTTAACAATATCTTACATTTCGTATTTGAAATAAAGAAATGACTATAATATTATTTGACACGTTTTCCTGTTTCCGTTCTAGCCGCCTTTGAGAAGCTCTTCCATCGTCTGCCCAACCATGTTCTGACTGTCAAACACAAGCGCAAGATCCCGGACATCAGCGCTGAACAGTGCGCGCGCAGGTGTGTCTTCGAGCAGAACTTCCGGTGCGCAGGTTTCGACTACGAGCCCGGCTACGCCAACTGCTGGCTCACTGACCTCACCGTGGCGCAAAGTGCAGGGGTCAAGTTCCACTCGGGGGCCGACTTCTACGAAAGAGATTTTGGTGAGTATTTTTAATATGTTTTTTTCGGGAGGGGGGGTTTGAAAGAAAACATAGAAGAAGGGGGGG